TTTAATATCTAATATTGTTTTAACACAAGAAAATATATTTCAGTGGTTTCAAGACAACGGCCTCAAGATAAATGTAGGCAAAACACAGTATATTAAGTTTGGAAATTATGGGTTTACGAATAGCAAAATTAATATTAATAATATATGTAGTATAGAGTTAAGTACCTCAATTAAATTTTTAGGCGTTACTTTGGACAATAAATTGTTATGGAAAAATCAAACAGATAATGTTTTAAAAAAAATCAATAAGTATCTTTACTTACTCCTTAATTTAAGATTTATTGTTCCAAAAGTGGCACTATTAAATATATATTATGCTTTTGTTTATACAAATTTAAAATATGGAATAATTTTTTGGGGGAATTCATCCCATACCAAAAATTTGTTTACTTTTCAAAAAAAAATTATAAGATGTATTTTTAATTTGGAATTTAATGAGTCCTGTAAGCAAACATTTAAAAAACAAAACTTACTTACGCTACCAGATATTTATATATATATGAAACTTTAATTTTTTACAAAAAAAAACTTTTTTATTTTTAATAACACTAGTAGAGAACATTCATATTTTACTAGAAAAAAAGATTTGGCACTTATTACTCAAACCAGGATCCACACTGTTTACAAGAGTACCTATACAAAACTTTGCTCTGGTTCTAAATAATAAATTACCAAAAACAATTAAAGACCGAAATTTAAAGAAATTTAAACCTTCTTTAAAAGCATATCTTGTAAACAGATGTGATTACTGTGTTGATGATTTTTTTTTAAGTTAAGAGAATTTATTGTATTTGTTTATATTTAGTTTTTATAATATTTATGTATTGTTTTTTGACGTGTTCAACATTGTAAACACGAAAAGTTTACAGTCTCAGGTTAACAGAATTAAAGTGATTTTACATAAAAAATAATATAAATATGGTCTATGATATTTTGTTGTATTTTATTTGAAAATATTTGAAATTTTTTTTAGTGTTATTTTTGATCGCTGATATCTTTGAAACGGTTGACTGAAGTACTTTGACCTTCAGATGTTTTTTGTAGAGCGTGAAATTGTCTATAACTCCTCTCTCTTGAGTGTTGCGAAAACAAACCATTTCAAAGTTATAAGAATTCAAAATTTAAAAAATAAAAATTCCCGTGTTATTGAAATGGAAAAACAACAAATGAGGCAAACCTTAATATTAAGAGCTCAAATATGCGCCAAAATTTTTGCTTTTTAATGTACTGATAATTTATTTAATTTTTATAAATTTAAAATAATTTTCTATATTAAATAATGTCAATATCTTCAAAAAGTTGCTTTGAAACGATCATCCTTCAAATTTACTAAGTATACTATACTATACTATATATGCTATAGCAAGTATTTGAAGCTTAATAACTTTTTACCCGTTAGGATTACAAAAAAACTACTTCAGGACTTTTTTGTAGAAAATTAAATTTTCTACAAGAATCATTGATGAGAAATTCAAAAAAAAATTAGCTTAGTGGAGAATTAAGATATTAAGCTGCGCTTTGGAGGAAATTTTTTTTATACCTAAAAGAAGGTTTTGAGATGACAAGCAAAAAAAATTTTTTTTGGACCACTTTAATCGAGATAGTATAAAATATTAGGTATTTAACTCAAAGAAAATGTCAATAAAAACTTCTATAGAAAACCTTTTATAACGTCATGAATAGCGTAACGAGCGCGACCTTAGAAAATTGGCAAATGCGACCAAGTTGGCCTCTAAAGTTAATACTGTAAAATTTTGGATGAAAGCATAAAGTAATAATTTTTTATGTAAAACTTAAATAGTAACCTTAAACAAGCACGTATTTTAAATGCAAAAAAATTGCATACTTTCTTTTCTAAAATTTTCTCAAAATGTAGCGTGTGCGACATTTGAACATTTTATCGAGTATTGAAACTCTTCCGTATTTATTCTTAATGTTAGCTTCTTAGAATCACAATGTACGAATATTTTAAGGTTATAAATTACGTCGCAATTAAACTATTTGACTGCACATATAGTTGTTATTTTGTTAAATAACATCTGATTTTTTGTCAAGGTGGGGTAAGGTTTCGTAGAAATACCCCTAAGCAATCACCCAAAACAATTTGTTCCCCAATTTTTTTAAGGTTGCTTTTTAGCGTGGGTTTTTAGGGTTATATGAAACGATGCCTAGAAAACATAAATATGTTCCTGGAACGTTGTATCAAAGAAATTATAACCCATAAAATATTGAATTGGCCCTGGCAGAGGTAATAAACAATCGTTTATCCTTTCGGCAGGTTGCTACCCGCTTTGATGTTCCAAAAAACCAAAGAATGAAGTATTCTGATGTATTTGGCCTTCTGCCTTAGGCAAAATCAAAGAAAGGCATATTACAAGTGTAATGATTACAGCTGCGGATAATGGATAATCTCTTGCAAAACAAGGTACAAAGGAGTGCAGCCATATCTTAACCAAAAAGGAGTGCTAATTAATATAGTTATAGTTATAGTTATTTTAAAGAAAAACGAATGGCTGAAATCTTTCTTGAAGCAAAAATTATGTTAACTCAAAGGTATGCTAAAATATAAGTAGATCCAGAGCAAAAGTTCATGATGATGTAATAAACCAATATTTTTGCAAAATAAAGAAGGAAAACAAAAAAGTATTTGTGAAAAAATAAAATAAACATCTTCCGTAATGATTACTGCCACTGTATGTAATTTTTAAAATACCTAAAACTACTTCATTGTAAATTTTTTATTTAAACCATTTTGTTATATTTAAATTTATTTACTTTAAGTATGGTTATTAAGAATCTTAAAGATAATCTTGAATTATTTTTTGCATTGTTCTAAATTAAGACTTTTATACACAAAAATACATATCGAGGGTCTCATGTCATAGGGGCGTATGCGCCAAAAGCAAAACTTTACAGGAAAGACAAAAAACGTTTTAAAGAAGTACTATATATTTTTTTTTGGTTTATATCATGAGTAAAATATGTAGATTTGATGGAAGGTATAGTATAAGTATAGGTATTATAAAAATTATTCTGATTATCATAAGTCTGATTATCACTTAAAAGGCGCTAGTCTACTTAGTTAGTATTAATAAAAAAATACTTTATTATTTGTTGAATGGGCTATGTTACCTGAATTACTTATATTTTTTTGTCAAATACACTAAAAGCTCTAGTTTTAGGTTTAAAAAAAGGCTGTAATACAAAAATTTTACTTCGATTAGGTATAAGTTAAATACAATGTTTAATAAATATTTGATGGTATTTATTATTTTATTACGTCAAAGTCTCTCCCTTGGTCAAAAAAGTATCTACCCTGATTTTGATGTCTCTACCCTGCCCGATGTATTTACCCTGGCCTTCCAAAAAGTAACTAAATATATTTAAATTAACTTGCCTTTAAGCTAATGGGTCACATAAAATGGGCTAAAGTCGTAATATATTTATTAAACCAAAAAACTCCAACTTTTCCCCTTGGCCGCATCCTCTATGGTTTCAAAACCTCTTATTGTAAAATTACCCATGGGTAATATGCATACGCCCCTATGACCCTTGATATATTGTATTATTTTCAGAAAATATGACAAAATTAGCTTGACAATGACATGAAATTAACCTTAATTATTTGTATCAAAGTCACGTGGTGGGACTTTGATGTGTCGTCAATTTATTTTCATTATTTAACTCAAAATTTCTATAGCAGCAAGTTTATTATACACCCTAATGCAAATATTATATTCAATATAACGAAAACAACGACACTTAAAAAAATGCCAGTGTGGTCATCATAATCGTCTGACTTGTCGTCATTTCAATTATTGAACTCAAATTTATATTGCAACGAGTTTATTAAGCGTAATCATATATCAAAATGCAAATAGTTCATTAAATTCTGAGAAACAAAGCTCGAAAACAATTGCAACAACTCGTCATGACGATAAAAGTGACGTGTAGTAAAGGGTCGGATAACGAGTCTCGTCATTTTTTTCGTTATTCGTATCGTCATTGTTGGTAGGGATAGTACATAATATTTAAACAATAAGTGTATCTTGTAGGTATTTGGAGAATGATTAGAAAATATAAGAGTCATTTAGCCTGTGCACACATATGTGTATTAATGTAATGTTAATATTTGTTTAGTTTTACTTTATAGATTTTAATCTATGGTTTTATTGGTTTCTGACAGGGACTTCCTGTATTTGCTTCTGCCCAGTCTGACGTAAAATAAATAAGTAACCTCTAACTTAAAGTAACTAATTTGGTCAATTTTATATTTTTTCACTTTTTAATATTGTTGTTTGTTGTCATGATTATAAAAAATTAAACTACCACTTTTTTATCAGGGAATATCCATTTCCTGTTATAGGGGCCCTGTATCTTTTTAAATAAATAAGGTAAAATTTTTTTGGTATTATTGAGGGTTAGTAAAGATACACATTCAAGGTGGTAAGCGACTTCTGTGACACTCTGTACCTTTTATAACAAATTTTGTTTTAATTTATTAGGTGTTTTCGCGGTGCTAATTCAGAACTAGTTCGGACATCCTAGGCATTCGCATTTTAATATTTGTCATGCGCACTTTACAATTTGAACGCCAAATTTTAAAAAGCGCATGCCTAGGATGCAGTGGCGGCTGGTGGATTTTGGGTATACCAATATTTCAGTTATTAGACATGGGAATTATCTCAAATAGGGGGTCAGGAGGCGGGTGAGGCGACAGGAAAAACTAACTTTTTTTCGCAAACTTCAATTTAAATTCTGTTTGCGCCGAACTTGTTTATTTAATGTCATTAGAAACTATTATAAATTTGGTGTGGCTCCCATGTCTAATAACTGAGATATTGGTATACATAAAATCCACCAGCTGCCACTGCTAGGATGTCCGGAATTAGTTCGGGATTAGGTCCGCGAAAATAGCTATTATTTTCAACATTTATTGCATGTACACGAACACGAAGGGGTTTTGTAAAATAAATAATACACAATTTTAGTTATCTTACTCATATTTTCTGCAATCCATTCCAAGTATCTGCTAACTTTTGTATACACGCCAGGTTCATTAGGTCTAGCGCAGCCTTCGCCATGGCTCACTATTCCTGCTAAGTACCATTGGTTAAGGTTATTAGGATTTCTACACATAAAAGGACCACCACTGTCACCCTGACAAGCGTCTTTTCCACCTTCACTTAGGCCGGCGCAAATTACGCTATCAATTTGGTCCTCTTCGTGTTTACAGCCTGGAAGAACTGGTACTTCCACTTCCCTCATGTGATCGGCTAAAACATATATTATACAACTGAACAAATTGGGCATAATTTCAAGATATTTTTTTCTGACAAATATTAAAGTACTAATTTTTATAATGCGCTGATTGTATTCGCAATTGTTAATAATAATATTAATAATAATAATAATAATAATAATAATAATAATAATAATAATTATAATAATAATAATAATAATAATAATAATAATGTTTAGGAATTTAATATTTACAAAAAAGATACATAATACAGTAGATAATTAACGAGGTTTAAAATAAATTATATGAGTATCTTCTCCTTCAAATAGGTTCACACATGTAGTCACATTAGATGTTACCTTACTTGACCACATTTTATGATTAACAATTGGAGGAGAAGATACTCATATAATTTATATTAAACCTCTTACAAGTCTTTTAATATTTCAATTATATTTCGTATCTTCTCCATAAATAGGTTCAAACATGTAGATGTTTAAAGGATTTTTTTTCATTATGTAACATAATGGAAAAAAAAATAAAAAACATAATTTATGTTATAAAATAAAATAAATAAAATAAAATAAAAAAACATAATTTATGTTATACGTTAGAAATAAGGCAGGTTTCAATTCACAAAATGTAAGTAAGTTTCACATTTAAACTAATTATACCTTAAGTAATATACACGCTCTATAACTAATATAGTTTAAAACATATGAAAAAGAAATAACAAATACTTATGGGTATATTTTTTTATCGGGCGAAATCAACAATATTGCTGTCCTCAGAGCATAACAACTGCGGTAAGAGATAAATATATTGTTTTTTCTATTAAATGTCTAAGCAATGAATTGTTTTATTCAAATTCACTAAAAAAAATTGTTATAATATACCTACAGTGTCTGTTACAGTGGCTAAGAGTGACAAATTGTCCTCATCTGCAACTGTCCCTAGCGCAATTTTCTTTATTTAAACTGGCATAAATTTATATTTCTTGAAGGTTTAGCAACAAAAACTCATACAAACTCTTAGCTATGTTTTATTAATGCAAAGAACATAAAAATTCAATACTTTACTCAGGGCCGGTTTATCAATGTCCAGTTAAAGTTGCAGTTAGTTATCTGTTAGATAATTTCCATGGATACCATTGTTTTCACAACGATCGATATGAAATTTAACTGTCAGATAGACTAACTGGAACTTAACTGAAGATTGATAAACCGACCCTCAGTTAAATATTTCCTACTAATATAAATAAAATGTCCCTTACTTGACGGTCCAGTCTGCAACGACATATTTTACACAGACTTAATTTACATATGACAACGTTGTTATACATATGACAACGTTGAACGCCATTTTATTTTAGTTATTTCAACCGTTAGTGCAAGGAATTGTTTTTACTGGTCAGTCAAATTATTTTATGTTTTTAAAGTTATACCTAAAATAAAAGTCATAGAAAGTATATGTCAATAACCCAGTAAGCATAGCGTTGATTTCAATATTTGACCAATCTCATTGAATCAATAGAAGTGGTATATCATCGGGCAATAATTGTATGGTCCATTATTTGTTAACTTAAATTTTATGTGAAGTCCCAATCGTTGATCAATCATTGCTCAATTTTTAGCCCATTCGAATTGTTAATAATTGATCAATTAACCGGACGTGAAACTGGGCAATTATTGCACTCCAATACGAACACGGTACTCTGGTTGATTGGCCAATGACTGGGCAATTATTAAATATTAACCACATTTGGGATCCCTAAGGATGATTCTTTGGGTTATTTTAAGGATATTTCTGTACCTAATTGGTACAATACATTTATTATAATATAGTAGATATTTAATAATTGCCCAGTCATTGGCCAAGCAACCGGAGTACCGTATTCGTATAAAAAATGCCCCGTAATTGCCCGGTTTCACGTTTCAGCTGATTTTTTTTCAAAAGTAATACCTAATTATTGTGAGTAAACAATAAAGACGCATGGTAGATATAATACTTATTTCTACCATGACTAGACGTCACGTATAGTGTCCAGTGTTTCGCTTCGCCGCATCATAAATTGGTTCATATAGTCGAAAATCGAGGTTTGTTTTGTTTTATAAGGCCGAAAATCGCGTTTTGTTTTAGTACATAAGGTCGAAAATCATGGTTTGTTTATGGACAAAACAATAATCCTGTGGATTTTGAAGACCTATAGTTTTGTCTTGTCTATTGTTTCTTATCTATGGTTGGAATCCTTTTCGCATGCGCAAGTAAATTGTACACGTGACTCAGCTCTACGCTCATAATATGAGTCGTTACCAATTTTGTATTCTCTATAATACAGACATACACATAACTTCCAAGATCAAACGCTCGTTTCTTTTAACAAGTAACCACAGATTATAAAGTAACCGAAGAATATGAACATCATACTTTATAATTTGTTGTTACTTGTTGAAAGAAACAAGCGTTTGATCTTTGAAGTTATGTGTGTGTCTGTTTTATAGAGAATACAAAATTGGTAAGTATTAATACTAATTAGTCTAATATTATTAGAAACCAACCGCGAATTATTATTATAATATTTAGGTTGTTATTCATATCCATAAGTAGGTATAAGTAATGCTTAGGCATGAATTTGTTTTGTTGTAGTAAATATATTGTAACCGTCATTTTGACAGTTACCCATTGATTATATTTTATTAGTTTTTGTACATACATGCATTAATTAATTATTTTTTTAGAGAATTAAAGTATTGAGTCAAGTCATGTCAACTGTGACACTAAATATTTATGAAAATTTGTAATGTTAAAGTATTGAGATACACTGTACCTAAACAAAAAAAATCAAAACATTTAAACAGTGAAAAAACACAATCCAAAATATTTTTTTATAGTTATTTATCAAATTAAAACAATATTCGATAACAAAAATACTTTTACTATAGGTATACCTATATCTCTTCCACAGATGGTTTGCTTAACATTTTTCCATAGTGTGGTTATTAGCTACGGGTAATATCTGCATTATATTAATAATTCCCCGCGTTCCTATCCTATGTAGCCCTCGAATTCTCTCTATATGAAAGTTGTAGTTGCTGTTCGTTTATTATTATTATTATTATTATTATTTTATAAAATCGTATCATCGTACAATAGTTCGAAGATGCGTGGAAAGGTAATCAAATAGTACAAAGCTTTGTCATAAAATGACAATCTCTAATAATAACTTTACCTGAGTATAAAATGTTTAGAATATTGATCAAATACCCAAATCAAATGAAATATGTTTATCTGCTTTTCATGTTATTTTATTCACTTATGATTTATATAGTATTCTTGTGCATGTGCATGATTATGACCCATGTTTTAATTGTTTTGTATATTATTTTTATTTGAACTGTGTAAGTCGCCAGGGTTTTTATGGTCCCTTCTCCCTGTGCTCTGACTCAACGGGCCACCCCTTTGTCTTTGCTTAAATTAAATCAGGGGTTTAAAAATTAAATACTTGTGTTTCATTAAACCTGACCAATTTCAAAATAACGTTATTATCAATGTACGTAAAAACACAACATAGAGTCCTAATTTTTATAAAGTAAGTAAATTAACTAGACGATCACGAATATGCCAAAACAAGTATTTCAGTATACTTAAAGAATCGGGTTACGAAAATGCATAGTGTACCTTACAAGGTTTAAAAATTATTTATATTATTAATTTTTAATTATGTTTTTAATGTAATGTATCAAAATAAATTCAAATAAAAAACAATGCATTAAAAGCCTTGCAATCTACTGTACAAAATTTTAGAATTCTATCTTTAAAAATAAAATTTTTATGTATTTTTGATACAAGACACACTCCGATTTTCCAAATTGCGCTGGTACCCTTTTGGGCCCGATAGCTCCGTTAGAAGCCACTTTAAGAATTTTTTTTATATGAGTAATATCAATAATAAAGCATTTTTTAGGTGCCTAAATATCAAGAACAATGACTACAGATTGCAAACGATTTTAACCAGAAGTGGATTTTTCAACATAGTGTTTTTAGCTATAGTTGACGCTAACTAATGCTTTACCTATGTAAATGTAGGTTGCCAAGGACGTTTGTCTGATGGCGGAGTATATGCTAACACCACATTTCTCCCGGTGTCCCGACGGCCTAGCACGCCCCTGCTCTCAAGGGTCTTAAATAACACATTAAACTTTTAAATGTACAATTCCCTTTCGACAGAAGTAAGGCTCCTATATAATTTTTAGAATAAAATTGAAAAGTTTCTTATTTATTTATTTTTACTTCACTGAGGAGTACCTTATGACGCTTAAAAGTAAAGTATCTCAACCATTTTTCTCTTAAGAAAGTGACTATATCTTTATACTAAAATGTATGTATGTATGTATATGGCAAATTGCGAGGGGTAAACCACTGATTTTTAAAAATTAAATATCGCTTACGAATTAACGGCTAAGGATAACAATAACAAGGGTAGTCATGCGCAACGCGTCGCTAAGCACTGATAAAGCACAGATTAAGCAAGTTTTCCTTATTAATACCGACTGATAAGGAAAAAAATCGCAACACATGTGTTGCGATTTTTTTCCGTTGTAACGTCCACTAACATTAAACGTTGGTCTCTAAGATTTTAAAGTGGTTTACCCCTCGGCAAATTGTTATGTATGTATGTATATGGCAAATTGTTATTAACACTGTATATTGACTAAATGCATATATGTAATGTATGTCAGGGCCGGATTTAGCATGGGGCCAGCGGGGCCACGGCCCCAGGGCCCCCACCATTTAGGGGCCCCCACCAATACAATATGTAGCTTTTTAATGAAACGAATATGAAATAAATAGAGACAAAAAAAAACTTGGGTCGGTCATACCGCGCGAATCCCGTAATTTTCAATTAATTTTTCGTAGATCTAACTCTAGTTTTTTTGCGGATTTTTTTCGAATGTAAATTATCACACTCAAAGTTTTTGCGCGCGAAGACGTTTTTATATAGTCTAAGTTATGACTCAAAACAATTTTAAGCAGTTGCTCCTTTAGTGCAAGATACATAAATACATACAATGTCATACATACATATTAGTGCTTGTCGTAACGTACAGGCAAACAGTCAATTACTTATAATCTAATATTAAAGTTAGTTTTTGTCCCAGATTTTTATTGGTACCTACATTGGAGTGTTGTGGAATATTTTCCGGTGTTTCCGAAATACTGTTTCGTGCTTTTTTTGAACAAAACATTGTTTTATTGTTGATGATTTTGTAAAAAACAGACAAATAATACGACTTTTGATGCACTTTTTTTCAGTTTGCGGTAAGTATTAAAAATACAAACAAAACAGATCAATTTATATTTTACTTGAGTAATATATATAAGGTTATGTTCGTATTATTCAAAATATATAAAATATAAAGTATATAAAAACACTTTCATTTACAATTCTATTCTACTATCTACGTTTTTATAGTTTTGCATACGAATTTATAATTTCTCAGACTTGGGTAAAATGTATGTACGGTTATGTTCGTATTATTCAAAATATACAGGGTGATTCAGACTTATGGTGACAAAAGTTCAGGGGAAATTCCTCTCATCAAAATATGAAAAAAGTTTCTATAAACACTTGCCCGAAAATGCTTCATTATCGAGATACAGGGTGTTTCGTTTAAAAAAAATGAGATTTTTATTTATAGCTTAAAAATGCTTTGGCCGATTTTATTAAAATTTATATGGTTTATTAAATAATAAATGATTCAAGGATAATAAAAATCACGTAAAGTTCCTCTAGCTTAAAAATTTACCATGAGTTTTAAAGTGTCAAAATTTTTAGAAATATTGAGGGCTCCCACCAAATGTCGGCCCCAGGGCCTCAAAACTCTTAATCCGGCCCTGTGTATGTCTAATATTTAAGTATGTTCACAATCCATGTGTGGATTGTGAGTATGTTTATCTATTTATTATCTGACGTGCCAAAAAATAATATATGTATTAATGTGTTCAATTAATTTCTATTTTATTTTTATTCTTATTTAAATAATGGACAGTAGTGGACGGGACAAGAGAAATATTTTTTTGTCCCGACAGTAACTGTGCATTATTAATATTATCTTACTCTAAATATTTTTTGCGTTTCTTTTATTAATTGGGCAGCCCTAAAAAACAAGAAAATTTTTGACAATTTTGATGGAAAAATATTATATTATAAATTCCCTACTTTTTTTATAAAAACAGTTTTGTGTTTCATGCGTTATGGGCTCTTGAAATGGCCCATCTGTTAAAACCTAATAAAATGATATAATAAACGTCAAACAAATATCTTTCGAGAGTTAAATAAATTAGAAAATGGATAATACATCTTAAAACGGTTATTATGTAAATTGATAAATTTATAATAGGTATAAATATAATACATGTATTCTTACGATCAGTTCCATGCTCTATAGTCGCACCCCAACCAACTGTCGTGCATATAGTTCCTGGAGGAGGTCCTTGTAGATATTCCTTACCGGCTGTCATTTCTGATGGCAAGCAAATTGGCCTAATGTACCTGTTATATCGCAACGGAGAAGATAGTTTCATAAGAGCTATATCATCAGCTAATGTATTTTTATTGTAGTTTTCATGCGAAACTGCAGCTACTGCCCAACGACTTTGTTCCATCGGGGAATATGAAAATCTCCTTAACATGCCAGCTTGAATTTCATAGTAGTATTGCCAATATCTAAAATATATGAAAATAATTATTGTATTTTGTTATTAAGTTTACTGTTTTCTTTTTTTATGTTTACCTGTCTACGCAATGAGCGGCAGTTACTATATATATTTCATTAATAATTACTCCACCACAATGAAATACACCGTTTTTAAAAATTGAAACCAGCCATGGCCAAGCTCCAGGTTGACTGGGTTTACCTCCGACGACTCTGATTTTATTAAATTTATTATTTTTTAAATTATTTTTATATGTTAAATTTTGCATCTTTAATTCAAGCATATTTTCACGTTCAAATTTTTCTAACATATCTTCTGATTCAGTGTCAACTTCTTCTGGACGATATGGGTTTTTTACAAGCATTCTTAAACCACAGAAAATAGGTGGACATTCTATAAAAGCCGCTTTATTTAGCGCACAAAAATTTACAAGATATATATTGTTATTTGGCATAAGGTTTAAAAATTCTCCTTCGTAGTTTACAGTTGAGCTTACCATATGTGACCGAGGTACTCTATAAATAATAAAGTTATAGTAAGATAAACATTATTGTGACATTAGTTATGTACATGTTACTTGGTCCAGCTTCAATATTACAAACTTCCATTGCCCATGAGTTAGTGCCAAAACACGTTGGATACCATTTTCCTTTAAAGTTTCGATGTAAAAAACCCACAGAATTGGATATTTTATATTGTGTACTAATACCCACTTTATCAACCAATACAGAACAATCCTCTTCATCTTTACCCGTAACTTCACACTGTCTGATATTATCACATCTTTGTAGGATCGGAATACAAGTACTTGGTCGAAATCTTGACCAGTCGTCGCAACTAAATTCATTTTCTTTACATCCTAAAAACAAAAAATGTTTGTGAATATAAATACTAAACTGTACTAACTAAAACGTATTACCAAATGTGGACAAAAATCATATGTTTTAGTATAAATTCTATTGAGAATACTTTATTAGACCTGTTATTTTAATTGGTCGTTGAAGCCTGATCAATAACAAATAAACTACTTCTTAATTAAATTTGATATAAGCATATTAGTAAAACAATTCTTAAATTATTCTTTTTATTAATAAAAAGCAAAAAGTACGTTTGTTTTGTTAATTTTTGCTTTACCATTACAAAAAATTTTCATTAAAGAAAAAATATACTAGCCTAGTTAAGTACGTAGTAATTACTACGTACTTAACTGTAAGCTGGATTTGTCGATAGCGTTAACGCTATCGACAAAATCCAGACAAAGCCTATAAGGTTCGATCCTTCCGCGGGACCTACTGTTTAACGTGGAATCCGAACCACGGTCCTCGATAATACACCCCTATCAACCACTTTTTAACATGGCATAGCATCATAAATTCCTTTAATAAGTGTAGTAATTGCATTTTGTGAGGATTTACCCTTTTGAAACCCAAATTACCTGTCTAAGATAATTGTATGCTTCTTTATATTGCTTTCCACCGTATCCTTTATTAACATTTTAAAGATCCTTGTTAAATAAGTTACGATTTGTGGATATTAAGAAATATACATATACATATTTATATGAAATATCCATAGTTGCATATACTATACACAGAGCTGTGCGGTACTCGAGTACTTGTACTCAAATTTTGTACTTTAAGTAAGTACTTTTTATGTACTCGGTACTCAGTCCAGAGTACATTTAAAAAAAAGTACTTGTAGGGGAGAGCGGGGATGGTTTGGACAATTTTGAAAAAATAATGTTTTTCTTTATTATATTTAAAGTAAAGTAAGTATATATGTCGTTTATAACAACCAAAAATATAAAAAAAATACTTAAAAGGAAATTAATTTTTTTGTATAAATACTCTATAGGATCAAGTATCCAGACTATCCCGTCGAATCAGGTTGGTTTGGACAAAAACTATTATTTAACAAAAAAGAAATATATTTAGGATACACATGTCCATAATAATTATAGGAACTTAAAAGTCACTTCAGACTAGAACTAAACAACAAAATTTATTAAAAAAATTAAGATTTATGCTAAGTTCAATAAAATCACTGATGAAACATATAAGTCACTTTAGACTAGAATTGAAAAATAAAAAATAAAAACAACAATAAACAATACTAAATTCAGCCAAATCAATATTAAAATAAATCATATTCAAATATCTTGGTCGAGTATCGATGATGGGGGACGGCAATTTCACAACCACTTCATCCTTTTTAATGAATGCTGGCTTCTCATCGGACACCGTAAATCTGTTTGAAGTTATATGCCGCTTCAAAAACTGAACATCGTTTCCTTGAAGAACTTCCTCAGTGACTCTGGCAACAAAGTTTCATGTTGATTTTGAGGTTTTTCCGTGAACTCTACAAACCACATAGTCGCCATTTTGAGATGAGCCAAAGTGCTTGATTCTTGATCTTCATCTCCTGATGAAGAATCATCATAGGGTACGGTATCTTCCTCTTCTTCCGAAGTTTCATCTGCTAAGATCTTTTCCTTCACTCTTTGCACATCCTGATTTCGCTTCTTCGTTACTTTCTTTTCTGCTAATTTAGTTTTTTTGCCGCTCTTCACAGGCCCTCTTCCAGATTTCTTTCTTGGTGACGCCTTTGGGAAGGGCAGTACCATCGATGGCGAAATAAATTCACTGGAGTTGAGCAGTTGAGCAACTTGGCAGTTCATCATTGTTTGCAGTGTGGGTACTGGCTTTGGCACCGGCCTCGATGATGGCTTCTACGATGGCCAAAGGACGGTCAGTGACGTAACAGGACAAAAAATCCTCTTCGCTAAAAACTCCTCTGTCAAAGGGACAAATTCCCTTGCATCTGAATCCTGATTTTACATTGAGAGGTTTTGCACCCTTAACCCAAGCGTCGACACAAAGCGGTGGTAAATCATAAATAGTCAATTTTTTCTCTGGATGAGAAATCATCCACTTATCAGCACTCTGATTGAAGAACCGCTTAAATGGCCCAAAGACGGTCCTATCAAGCGGTTGCAGCTTGTTCGAGGTGTGTGGAGGAAGCGTTAGAATAATGATGCCATTCTCTTTTGCATAGTCGATCCTTCAACTGATAAGTGAGACTGATGGTTGTCCATTATCAAAAGCTTCAAAAAGTGATGCAAGACAAACAGAAAATTCTCAGAAGTCTTCCATCCAGATGGATGGACCAAACCAAGAGCCCCCTTTCCACTGGAACACCCAACATCATTCTTGCTGCATCAAATCGATTTCTCGGAAAAATCCATACAGGAGGCAATGCTCTCCCGCTAGCGCAAATAATGCCGACTTGCGTAATGAGTTCTCCACGTTCTCTCGATGTAACTTAGCCTACTTGATGAAGACCTTTGGAGCTGATAACTTTTTTGAACTTTTTGTACCATAGTGACACCCATTTCATCAAGGTTAAATATGTCATCGGGTTCAAGTCGATATTTTCTAAGCAATTATTCGAATTTGGTTTGGAAATCACCAACGTTCGTTTTGTTGAAGCTTGAGATACGAGCTAAACTCGTAGCTTCGGGTGTTCTGAGTGATAATCGGGGATGTCTCTCCATGAATCCTGAATACCAATCACGGCCAACCATGCATTTTTCTGTCCATATCTGTGGATGTGGTAATTTATTTTTAACCGCGTACTCATAGGCCAACTTTCGTGTGCTTTTCGGCGTCAAGCCTTGGTATATATTTGAACATTTCACGAGATATTTCTCCAATGATTTCTCCATATCAGTTGACAAAACCTGCCTGGTCGTGTATTGAGGTCCGAAGGAGCAATTTTCAAAACCTTCTTCAGAAGCCTTTTTGACGAAATTAGCAACAGAAGATTTTTTTACGTTATGAAGCTCGGCTACTTGACAAAGGCTTAGTCTTCTTTCCAGCACATCTTGAACAGCCAACTTCATGTTCTCCGCAGAAAACATATTTTCGCGTTTCCGATTATACTTTCTTGTCATTTTCTCTGAAAAAAAAACATGACTGATTTATAGTATGTTACATGCAGGATGGTTTGTACAAATGTCCAAACCATCCCACGGTAGCAATCTTTCAAAAAGTTGACTTAAACTAAAAATGGTTATGTTTATCAATGTCTTTAACTGCAGGAAAGCAATATACAAACATCAAGCATTATTAGCGATAACTTGGGATTCATAACAAGTGGCTGTTTTCCAAATTATGAGCCCTCCATATAGGTAAGATGTTAAATCAGAAATCATTAAAATGGATTTTTCCAACTTACCTGCTTAAACCGTAACGAATTCACTTGCTGCTGCATTCACAATGAGGAGAGCACTAAACCTACAAGCCAAACGGGTATTTATGTAAACAAGCATAAGTTGCGGGTACATTGGTTGTACTCTAGTACATTTTTTGTACTCGAGTACATTTGATGTACTCGAGTACTTTTGTTGTATGAGTACATTTTATGTACTGAAGTACTGTTGTTGTACTCCAGCATCTTTGTGTTAAGTTAACATAACCACTACTATAGTGGCACTACATATTCAAATTTATTGCCATAATTATAATGCTTTAGCAGCTAAAGTTTAACGGTTCGGCAATATTCGGAATAAATCCTCGAAATGGGCAAGTTGGTAAAATATCATTGTGGTGCCCTACTTTATAGAGATATTACATATTACAAGAGGTAGTGCCCTTTTTATCTCTGGTAGTGCCGTCATAATGTCATATGTAACGTTATAGTAATTTGAGATTATTCTGCAATAAAGAATCTGCATTAGTATTATTTTAAGTGTTTTGGTTTTTGTTATACTGGGCTAAGTAAGATTTTAAATATTATTTTGTATTTAATTACCTACTTGATTAAGTTTTTGTTATATTTGGTACGCTTAAAAAATTAGGTTATATTTTTGCATTCAATCTTGTTTATAATAATGTTTAGGCTATTTATTAAATAAAATATATAATAAATTACTTGCATAAATAGGTATACCTATAGGTAATAGTACCTATATGTAAAAGAATAGTTAATCTATTTTAATATTATTTTTTCTGTTTAAAATCGAAATAATTGGTTATTTGGAAAAAAAATATTCAAATCATAAATAAATGTATTAAAAAATATAAAAATGCAGTTTTTTTTAAATATCCCTATAGTGACCTAAACCTTATATTTTGTTTTGTTTAACTTTTAACAACTTTTTTTGCTAGATACTGAAACCTAAATTACATTTTAAGAGTTTTTGGAAAAAGTACTTTGTACTTTGTACTTGTACTCGTGAGTACTTTTGGATTTTTTGTACTTTGTACTTACTTAAGTACATTTTTTTCAAAGAACTTGTACTTTTACTCGAGTACATTTTTCTTGTACTCGGAACAGCTCTGACTATACATAGTACATAATATCTAATGTAGTTATATTTATGAATGTCCATAATTTATACATGGCATATTTTTTGTACTTTGTACTTACTCAAGTACATTTTTTTCAAAGAACTTGTACTTTTACTCGAGTACATTTTCTTGTACTCGGAACAGCTCTGACTATACATAGTACATAATATCTAATGTAGGTATATTTATGAATGTCCATAATTTATACATGGCATATTTTATGTGTATTTAAAATGGATATACATAATATACCTTAGATTGTGATATGGATTTCCAACTAGAGGACACTTAAATAAAATATGTATATCCATTGTATGTCCATTAGATATTCGCGTTTATCCATCAGAATATCTATATCCATTGAATTACATACATTGGATATGTTATGTATATTAATTTGCTGACGCTGTCGAGATTAAATCAAATTCGTGAGATTCTTCTATCGCCCTGCGTTACTGTAGTTTGTTCGAGTATAGGGTACCCCATCACACTATAGAATATTGTAAAG